CTACACTTGAGTAGGGGAGATGTTGTTAGAAAAAAGCAGAAAGTGGAACCCGCCCTAGGAGAGCTAGTGAGTAGGGAACACAAAGGGTGGGAGAGATGACACGCCATCCAAAAATACCAGCTGTCAAGGGCAGCAGTGAGCCAGCACTGGGAGAAAATAAAAACTAAAAAGCCTGAGTCTGGCTCCTCCTCACCATCCCAAGTCCTCTTGACCCTCCCCCCTACCTCCTTGTGAGCAGCCGAGTTGGACTCCCAGAAGCGCTGCACTTTGCTGAAGGTGACATTTGTGCAGTCCGAGAGGCCGCTCAGGAAGGTGCCCGAGGACTTCTCCGTGAGAGCGGGGGCCACCTCCTCTTCCATGGCCGTCTCAGGGGCTTCGCTTTTGCCCAGACGCAGGGACCCGGACTGCAGCTCATTATGCAACTTCACCGCATCAACTGTCAGGTCACTTTTTCCTGAAAACCCGGAGGCACAGGTGAGACCCTCACTTCCACCCGAACCTCCTTTTGGCCGGGATCCACCCACACGCCAAAAACTAGCAGAGTCCAGGCCCCTCGCTCGAGAGGCTGAATTCTGAACATGGCCTGCCTCATCGGCCAACTATAAGCCTAGAACTTAGGAAACCCAGGCAGGGAACCCGCCAGGTAAAAGTTTCTGCTCCCGTGTCCCGACGGATTAAGTGCGGGCGGGAGCCGGCGCGGGGAAATAAATGCAGGTGGACACACTCTGTAAAGACTCCCCCAAAGTTAATCATGGCCAAGTCCCAACTCTGACACCCGTGGTACCCAGGGCTAGTCATTTCCCTACTGTCGACTCAATTTCCCCATCTGTCAAACGGGGAGGGTGGGTCTTTACAGCAGGCTCCACATGCGACGTTCTACGAGAAGAAACGTCCAGCGCCTGGGCCCCGGAGCCTCCAGAGAAGCCCAGACCATCAGACCCAGGCCCGCCACAACCCCGCCGTCAGCTCGTCGGGAGTCTCAACCCCGCTACCTGAGGGCCGGCTGAAGAAGCGGCTGCGGGCGGCCTGGCGGTGGCGGCAGATGGCAGGGTTGCTGTCGCTACTATGGCCTTTCTTCCAGCGTTTCAACTTGGCCGAGACACCGGAGGGCAACTTCCCCGAGCGACCCATGTCGACTACGCCGGGACAGAGACGGGGAAACACGCGCAGAACCCACGTGGATAAGTAGACTACTTCACTTCCTCTTTCTCTGACGTAACTTCCGGATTCGGGTCTGTTTCTATGGCGAAATAGTCAACATCCGGTTTTACATTTCCTCCAGGCTCCCGGATCCCTGAGACGCTCAGAGATGGGGTGCTAGGGATTCCCTAGGGCTTATCTTCCAGGGCATCGGTTCTTGGCCACAAGAGTGAGCCTTATAAAACTAGAATTACTTTGCAGGTTAAAAAACAATCAAACGTCTGTTTGTATTATTTTTTAAGATCTAATTTCGAAAGTAAAGCTTGGAAACAAATTTATCAGAAAGAGTCAAAACCTGGCCAGACCTGAAAGAGTAGAAAATCAGTTTGTCCCGAAACGAGAAAAAAGCAGCCAGTGATGCTCTAAACCCGCTTAGTTATTTTCATTTAGTACTGGGGATACCCAGTTGCTAAAACCCCCTCCCTCATGGCAGCACTCAGACCCTCTCACTAATCTCTTATAATCCCACATCAGAACCAGCAACCAATCCTGAATTGACTTTCACTTCGACCCTCCCCAAAATCATTTAGCTGGAACCCAAACCTTAAAAAGATACTTTCCTCCCCTGTCTTGGGGTGCAGCATTCCAAGATTCCTCTGGAATTCCCTCCCCCACTTCAAATCAACAAACCTGATTTTGTCAAACTATGGCTGGATCCTGGTGAGTTGTTTTGTTTCTTTTTAAGTAGGCTTGGGCCTTGAACTCACAACCCTTAAATTAAGAGTCACATGTCTCAGTCACAAGAGACTGAGCCAGCCAGGTGTCCCCCTGGTGAGTCTTGGCTGATTAGGCTTTAACACATTCATTTTACAAACATTTTTTAGCTCTCACTGAACAAGATATTTCAATAAGTCAATCTTCCAAATGAACAGGAGTGGACAAAATTTCTGTATGCTGCTTCTTTCACTTGATACAGTGTGAATTTTTCCCCTTGCTATGGTCAGAATGGTTTTTTGTTTGTTTGTTTGTTTTAATATTTTATTTATTTATTTCCAGAGAGAATACAAGCAGGGGGAGCGGCAGGCAGAGGGAGAAGCAGGCTCCCCGCTGAGCAAGGAGCCCGACGTGGGCTCAATCTCAGGACGCTGGGATCATGACCTGAGCCAAAGGCAGATGCTCAACCGCCTGAGCCACCCAGGCATCCCTATGGTCTGAATGTTTTATCCCTGCAAACTCCCTGTGTTGAAATCCTAACTCCCAAAGATGGATGATGTTAGGAGGCGGAGCCTTTGGGAAATATTTAAGTCATGAGGGTGCAACCATCATGAATGGAATTGGTGTCTTATAAAAAAGATTCAAGAGAGATCCCTAGTCCCTTCCGTCATGTGAAGACACAGCAAGAAGGATCTGGCTATGAACCAAGAAGTGGGCCCTCACCCAAACCATGCTGGCACACTGATCTTGGACTTCCAGCCCCCAGAACTGTGAGAAATAAATTTCTGTTGTTTACAAACTACTAAGCCTATGTTATTTTGGTATAGCAGCTGAACAGACTAAAGACACTCTTTGTTCTTAAATATCCTTTTGCAAAGATGATTCTCACAACTGGTTGCAGCTGAGCTCCCAAGCTGATCTGAGCTTGGGAAAAACACGGATCCACCATATAAATTCCATGAAGACAGGAATTTTACCTTTATCACTTCCATTCCCGGTACCTGGAAGAGTGCCTGGCAAAGAGTGTAGGCATTCAACAAATTACTGTTGAATGAATGAATGAGTATATATGTGTGGTGGAGGAAAGAAGAGGGACTAAAACAAGGGCACAAATTATAAAAATTCAAAGATGAATGTAAATACCAATAACTGTAATTAGCCTTTACTTAGCCAAACTGAGATGGTCTTTGACTCCACAGATAGAAACACAAAGCTCAAAACACACATTTCTGAGGGAGTTAAGGAGTACCCAAAAATGAATTTTGGTCCAAGAACCAAAGAGCTAGAGATGGGGAATAAAGGGAAGGCTGGGATGAAATTCATGCAACTGTAGTGTTGGTGCTTCTGAGGGGTCATCCAGATCACAGGTCACATGCCAGTCAGGGTCAATACTTTACTGGTCTATAGTAAAAGAAGTACAATCTAGTGATATTCAATGCCTTTGCTGATATTCAAATGCCTTTTCTTTTACAAAGCAATAGTGAGACTAAATGGAAGGTTTTTTCCCCCAAAACACTATTATTTGCCAAAATAAAGAGTTGGCAACCTTTTGTTAGGTCTTTTCTTTTTATTTATTTATTTATTTATTTATTTATTTATTTAAGAGAAGAGGAAGGGCAGAGGGAAAGGGAGAGAGAGAATCTTAAGCAGGCTCCATGCCCAGCACAGAGCCTAACACGGGGCTCGATCTCACAACATTGAGATCGTAACCTGAGCCAAAATCAAGAGTGGATGCTTAACCCGCTGAGCCACCCAGAGGCCCCAGGTCTTCTTCTTCTTTTTTTTTTAAGATTTTATTTATTTATTTATTTACCAGAGAGAGAGGGGGAGAGAGACAGAGAGAGAGTGCGAGAGCACAAGCAGGGGGATCAGCAGGCAGAGGGAGAAGCAGGCTCCCTGCTGGAGCAAGAAGCCCAATGTGGGACTCGATCCCAGGACCCCGGGATCATGACCCGAGCCAAAGGCAGACGCTTAACCGACTGAGCCACCCAGGCGCCCCATCTTCTCTTTTTAAAAACAAGTTTACTAATGTGTAAAATTAAACATATCTGTAACCAACTTTTCACTGGAATATCTGAACCAACTCTTCATTTTGCGAAGTCCAGAAAGGTGAAGTGATTTGCACAAGGTTCCACAGCAGAGTAGTTTATTCAGTGAGACACAGAAAGAAGTAACCATAAAAGAAAATATTGATAAACTGGAATACACTAAATGTAAGAAATTCTGCTCACAAAAAGACACCATAAAGAGCACTAAGAGGCAAGCCAGAGTGAGAGAAGGTATTTGTAGTTCATAAAACTGACAAAGTATGGCAGCATATATAAAGAAATCCTACAGGGGCGCCTGGGTGGCTCAGTCGGTTAAGCATCTGCCTTCGGCTCAGGTCATGATATGAGAGTCCTGGGATCGAGCCCCATGTGGGGCTCTCTGCTCAGTGGGGAGCCTCCTTCCCTCTCCCTCTGCCTGCCACTCCCCCTGCTTGTGCGCAGTCTCTCTCTCTGTCAGATAAATAAATAAGACCTTAAAAAAAAAAAAGAAAAGAAATCCTACAAATCAATAAGAACTAGGGAGACAATCCACTAAGAATGGGCAAGAGACATAAACAGGCACTTCACAAAACTGGATATCCAAATGGCCAATTAACAAATGGAAAAATGCTCGATCTCGTTAATCAACAGAGAAATGCAAATTAAAACCACAATGAAATGCTACTACAAACCCACCAGAATGGCTAAAATTAGCAAGACTAACAATAGTAAGTGTTGGTGAGGGTGTGGAGACACCGGCCACATATGCGACTGGAGGGAGTATCAACTGATACACCCACTTTTGTGTGGTAGTATCTAGTAAACCTTAATGTATACCTTCTCTATAACCCAGCAATTCACTTCTGAGTATATACTTAACAGAGATCTATACTTATATGCATAAAAGACATATATGATCATGTTCATAATAGCCAAGTACTGGAAATGACCCAAATGTCCATCAACAGCAGAATGGATAAATAAATTGTAGACTATTGACATAATGAAATAACATAGTATTTAACTATATACAGTAATGAGAACAAACAAACTACTGCTACATGCAACAGCATGTATGATCTAAGTTGAGCGCAAGACTGCAGACACACAAAAAAAGAACATCCCACTTAGAAATTCAAAATCAGGCTTTGTTATTCTACAGTATTAGAAGTCGTCAGGATAGCAGTGACTATGCTGGTAGTAACTGAGAGTGGACACAAGGCTTGTGGTAATATTCTAATTGTGTATTAGAAGGGAGTTTACATGGATGTCTACGCTGTGTGATAATTCATTAGCTGTGCACTTATAATCTGTGCACCCTTCTGTATATATGTTACTCTTCATTGATTTAATAAAAATAGAAAGTGCTCCTGGCATCCAGAGCAAAGAGAGCACGAAGACTGTTAGTGCGAGAAGGTGTCACTGCAGAGAAGATAACTCAGTGCTGACTCTGGGCCCTGTACCTCCAGCCGTGAGAGTCAATACACCACCTGCCGGCAGAGCCCACTCCTGGGACACAGGCTGAGATCTGGGTGGTAAGGCTGAGAAAAGGGAACTGGTGGCCTGAGGAGGAAGAGGAAGCCACGTTTGGAAACTTGTAAGCAACCTGGTGCTCAGAGGTCCAGATGTGGGAACAGTCACTGAGAGAAGACCTAGAAAGTGTTGGTTAGAGTCTGGACTTACTTTACTGCACGACACTGGGCAGGGATTTAACCTCTCTGAGTGTCCGTTTCATATCCTGTAAAGTGGTGATAATAATACTGAACTCATTGGGCTACCCTGAGGATTCAATATGAAATTGTGTGTGTATGTCAAAATACAACTCCAAAAATGTTAGTGGTACCTTGTGAAGGGTGTGGTGGTGTACCTTTGCCACCAGAGGGAGCTCTGCTAACAGCCAGTTAAAGCTGAAACCCCAGAGAGGCAGCAATATCGGCTGAGCAGGCTGGAATTTTGCAAATCAGATGGGGAGAATGAAGAGGCCCCGGCTAGTGGCAGCCTTCCCAACCTTTTCCTGGTCAGCAGATACCTGCTGGCCTCCAAACTGAGTCTGCTAAATCACAACTGGGTACAGCCTCTGAATGAACCACCTCTCTGGGAGTGGGCTGGCCCCCCATCTGGAAGCGTCAGCTCAGAGCCTCCTCCAGAAGATGGTGTCAGGAGAAGGGACACAAGGCATCCACATGGCTTGAGCATACTTTCTCCCACTTTGCACAACTAGGGTTCACCTTTCTGGTGAAGGACTGACTTTGCTGTCCCTGAATTCCAGCATCGTCTTCCACCCAGAGGAATTAGCCTTCTCTATGATAATCCATACAATTTATGGCTAATA